GTCAGATGACAGTGCAGAATACTGAAAAACTGACTGTTGTAAAGCATACAGCATTTGGTTTGTTGTAGCTTTTGAACTAACAAAATGAATATGTGTGCATTTAAATATTGTGTTGCTTATGTTAAGACTTAAACTTAACAAACTTGAGGTGTGTTGGTCATTTGAAGTATGTGACATTGGTGCATACTTCAAATTAGGTTCAGATTAGATTAGTACAGACTCAAGACTCTGGGTGACAGGAGAATAAATAGTGCCACAAATTTTGGAAAATTAAGTCTACATGAAGTTTGTTTCAAATCCACACTTCACTCAATAGCCCTGTGCCAGATACACGTGTTTCGTTTTTGCAAACAGAGCCTAAGAATAGATCACATTGAAAGGATGTTTTGGTTGTATTTTATTAACGTTTTTTTCCCCTTTATGACGACAAAGTGTCTAAAAAATCACGATATACCGTGCCATAATCCAGGTTTTTGTTCATACCACCCAGAGCTAGGTCCACATGGTACTGAGCTGAGTGTTTAGAGACATGTTGTAACTAAATAACTCGTATTAAATATTCCAGGATCTGTCGGCGCTTTGAAAGTTACAACTAACAAAGCACGCGCACCTGACGCTGTCGTTGTCCCGCACCACGTAGATGCTCTCCGTGTGCGGCAGGTAGCAGTCTTCTATGAACAGGCTGAGGATGCTCCCGCCGCTGAATTCAAACTTCTCCCTGATGACGCTCTCCAGGTCGGCCACCACGCGACACACGTTTAGGTCTACGAGCAGCCAGCACATGCGGCAACCGACGACAGCCGGCGGCGGGTAGTCAAAGTACAGGCGCAGTCGGATAAAGTTGTTACTGTGGGCAGCCATGACGGCTACAGCACCAAAACACGCCGGCTGCTGTACTCCCTCTGCGAGCTCAAAGACGACACTTCCGTTCTTCAAAATAAGAGTGCAAACTCAAATGTATTTCATTTCCCTATTCAAAGAAAAGATTATTATAGTAATAATAACTCTGTAATGACAGCTATACCCACATCATATCAACTTATCACGTATTCGTTTGTAGTCTCAGACTTTTATTTTAAATTATCACTTTTCAACGGAAGTGAGGCGCACGTGTTTGGTGCTGTCAATACCCTCGTTTACAATATTGACCTCTGCTGGCGTGGAGGAAGTACTGAATTATTACAGAGCTCCATCGCAGCCAAATGATCGAGAAATATTCACCAGAGGCTCTTGTCGTAGCTTAAAACTAAACTCAAACTGAACTGTAAAAATGACTTGAATAAAAGCTTATCTTCATTCTTCTTGGGATTTTTTTTTGTTAAAGTCCTTAAAACTGACTTTATGACTCATTCAAGCATTAAAAATGCACATAACTAACGGGTTGAACCAATGGTCTGTCTACACATAATAGACAACTTATATCAGCATGGTTATCAGATTTTCCTTAAAAAACGAAAAAGGAAAACATTAGGACCAAAGAAAAAGTGGCAAGCCTAGAACACTGTCTACATCAGATGACCAGTTTCTGGAATCCATGTCTGCTAGAAATAGGAAAAATCCAGCAAGCCCTGGAAAAATAAAAAAAGAGATATATTAAGACCTTGATCCATCTACTCTTGGCCAAAGTCTTGTCGGAAATGGTCTGAATGAAAAGGTCGCTGTTAACAAGCCATTCCTAAGGAAGGGTAAAGGCTGCAGTATGTCACAGTACACAAAAACTGGATTGAAAATGAGGGGAAACAAGTCAAATCTAAAATGGTTCTAACTATTACCAGCGTGTATGTCTCTGTAGGACACAGTAGGAGAGTCACTTTTATCCTGATACAGCAGTTCTGCACCTAAACTCTGAGCCTTTCCTGCCTCCTTGCCGTTTCTTTTATAACTGAACTGCTCACTTTGTCTGAACTGTGTGCATTTATATTGATGCTTTATGTCTGTCTTATGAGGTGCAGTGCTCTCTGTGCCTGTTTTAATTGTTAATTGTCCCTTGGGGGTTTCTGGGATTTGAAATGAATGTTAGATCAAACTCATCGTCTTTTCTTCTTTTCTTTTGATGTTCATTGAGGTTTTTCAGAGTCTTTAAGTCACTTTACTCCCTTCAGTGCTCTGAGGTTATTCTAACTTTACTCTGTGACGCAATATTTAAAAAAATGTGTCGGTCAGCTGACCACGGGTTTGGTCATGTGACTTCTCGTTGCAGTTGAAATTATGCGGAGCCTTTACAGCTAGACACTTTAACGATGGGTTCCTTCCGAGTAGACTTTATTTTGTGTTTCTTACTCAGCGTTGTGCTGTCTAAAGGTAAGATATCCGCACAGTGGACGAGGCTCTTACAGACTTCTTCTCGGGGTTTTTTTTACCTCCCACTTTGACTTCGAAACGAAAGTAACGTTTTGATCGCTCATCACAGACTGGTTTATTGTTTCTGGTAGAATGACGATATAACCCTGTCACACTGTAACCGAACACCAAGTTAACAAAGTGGATGTGATTGATTTCTGCGCAGGGCTCCCCTCTGCTCTGCGGAGCAAAGAAGCCTGGAACTATGTGGAGGTGAGAGACGGGGCCCACATGTTTTGGTGGCTCTATTATGCTGACAGTGTACAAGCCCAGTACAAGGACCTGCCTCTGGTCATGTGGCTGCAGGTAGGACTTCGTGATTTTTGTTTTCCACCTTAACTGGGTTTCCAGCGATGTCAGCATTTCAATCAAACTTCGTCCCATTTACGAACATTTTACGCGTGTTTAGTCGTTTAGTATCAGTCCCATTACGTTTAGACCAAATAAACTGTCAATGAGATTTTCTTTTTACACGAATAAATAAATAACTTATATAGGAATTTAAACTGTGAATTCCTAACTTTGCCTGCAACTTCCCCCACGACCTTATGCTGACAGCTTAAAAAGTTATTTTTCATTTAGGCAGTAGGCTGTCTACAGTCTGCACCTACAATACCTGCACTGTCTGTAGGGTCTCATATATCTTTGTAGTTCATTCAAGTTGAAGCATGCAGAAGTTTTTTTTGTACTGGACACAGAGAGTGATCCATTCCCAGACACTCAAGCGTTCAACTATTAGTTGAAGACTGGAAAGTGGGGGTCAGTCTTGTCTGTATGTTTCTGAGGGGGAACAAAAGTCCACAAGACTAATAATGCTTCAAGTATTTATGTCTTATTTAGTGATTCTCATCCCATATCAACTGTCTGTCTTGCCCGTTGTATGCAAACACTGATTGAATAAATAATAAAGTCCACAGGAAGCTAAGAATTCCCCTGAAGCTGTTCGCTGAGCATCATTAATCACTTAACTATCAGGTCTGTGACAAATCGAGCACATGCATGGTTGCATTTTCAAACATGTGCAACATCATGCTACCATTCCATCTTCCTGTACAGTGATGTCTGCAGGAAGTTGTGATGTTCAGAGATTGTGTTCCCGTCTCAAATGATCAGGCCTTTGGTTAAAAATGGAATGGGGCTTAGACTGAGAGGTGGTAAGAGTGAGTAATGGCAGTGTTGTTTTTATTTCTAACCACAAAAGAGGAACAATTATGGTCTAATTTTAAACTTTCCACTTTATGACTTTGTATTGCATTATTTTTCTGATCCCATCCCCTGCCACCAAAAACAAACAAACAGTAATAGAGACGTGTACTTTAATAATAATAATAATAATGGATTAGTTATATATAGCGCTTTTCAAGGCACCCAAAGTGCTTAACAATGCCACTATTCATTCACTCACATTCACACACTGGTG